ATTTTGGATAAATATAGTAAAAATAAAAAAATAATTATTTTTAAAGTTTCTCATGGAAAAAAATAAGTAGAAACCAAAATTACTACCTTGATTGACATTTCTTTTAAGGTAAAGTTCGAAATATCGTAGTTCTAAAAGTATCATAAAGGTCATATCGTCATAAGAATTGTATCGAAAGTGCGCTGAAAAATATTGTGGTTCGAAGTGCCAACCAAACCTGAGATTAAAGTCTTGACCAAACCGATAAGGCATCAAAAATCGAATATGCATGCCAATATAGTTTAATGTCGGCAAACACAACGACTTACGTATGCTTTAATAGGTTTCTAGCCATTTATGTTAGTTATATCATTTAAAGAAACCATGGCTGAATTTGAAAGAATGATTCTTACAAGATACCAACTTATCCGCAATCATTTCTCGGCTCACCTAAATTGGTAGTAAAATTAACTATAAAGTATTGATTTTAATATGAATCTTATAAGAAATTGGAATATGACGATGACTGCAGGTACGCCATTATATCAGTTTACAAATATTTATAATTAATAGATTATAATAACAAATATAAATTTCATAAAATTTGTAGTTTTATTAAATATGATGATGGCTGCAGGTACACCATTATATTAGTTTCTAAATATATAATTTATAGATTATAATAAATGGTACATATTCCATAAAATTGTATTTTTATTAAATACATTTTAACTCAAACTTGGACTAGTTTAATACTATGCTCAGACAGTCAAATTTCATTAATTTCGAAAACATGAAATTTAATTAATTTCAAAACTGTTTATACTGCCCCAAATTAAGAAAATCATATGTTTTTATCTGGGAAATTTGTGTCTGGGAAATTTTAAAAGTTGATTATTATAACTATAAAGGATGGTATTCAGTAGTTTTATTAGCTTTAGTGGATTTCAGTTATGTGAATTATTATTTTCCACTCTATTTTAAATTAATAATAGTTACAGTTTTTTTCTCTATATTAAAATTTAAAATTTTGCACCACTTTCAAAATATTTATTTAAAAAAAATATCCCTTTTCGTTATCTCAACTTCATCATTTGCTTCAAATTTATCTTACGCATAGCTGCATTTGAAATGTTCCTTTATTTCAGCCTTCATTTCAACGAAATTAAGGCCATTTTTCTTAATTTCGTTCTAAGCTCAAAATGGAATTTTTAATGGAGAATACAAGTAATTTCGCTGAAACGAAGATGAAATAAAATTTTTTGCGAAATTAAGGTGTGTGAATGAATGATGAATAAAAAACAATATAAATATTTTTTTTAAAGAAATTATTAATAAGAGATAATTATTAATTAATTGAAAAATATAAATTATTCAAAATTGATTGAAAAAATAAAAAAATGTTGATTTTTTAAATATTTTCTCGTTTTAATGTATAATCATGTAGTGCCTCCAAGCAGTATGGTTAATATATGATAAATTACTTAATGTTTAATAATTAATTTTCATCATAATCATCAACATGAAGGACTAATATGCATATAATAACATTAATTAAAAATATGATTTTATTAAACATGTAATAAAAATCAATTTAATAAAGGTTTTAATTATTAAATAAAAATTAATACCACAATAAATGTTATTAAAAACACAAATACACACAAATACACACATGAATACAAGTGATGACGACAAACGGTATGGCACACAAGGTTCGTTACCAAATTTAAGCCACCTATTAAAATGATAAAATTATTAAACACGACCAGACCAACAATTCGTATAGCGAAAAAATTCCTGTATTACATTATAAACAAATTAAAAATAAAGTAAAAAATTATTTTGGGGTAAAAATATGGAAGCCGTTCAAAGTTGAAGTGCGTGTGCAAATTAGTTCGCTTGCAACCTGAGCGGGGGCGGTTTGTGTAGATCTGTTTACTTGCGGTTGTAGGTAGGTGTAAGAGAATGTCTGCTGCCTGTTTATTTGGGATGTTGTTGTGGCTTTAACATACTACAACCACTGAAGCTAATAGCCCAACAATACATTAAAGCTACCACTACAAGGCAAGCTTAAAATATTTAATAACTTTAAAATGTGAAGAATTAACACATTAATTTTGTGCCTCTTGTTGTGCTTTTAACAGTCTCTGTTGTTGCCATGTTGTTGCCGTGCTGTTGTTGTGTTGATGTTGTGTTTTTGTTGCTGTCATATTACAAAAATAATCAAGTTGGTTTAGCTCGTTAAGCACTTCACCTTAGCCAACGCGTTTAGCAGAAGCTACTTAACCATCGTTCCCAGTGGTGGTTTTTGTGTGTGTCAGTTACTTTTCCAGTTCACTGAAGTGTTCATGGAAATTTGTGTTTATTTGCTCGCCTTACAATAACTTTGTATATAAATATTTTCTTAGCACTTACCTCTGTTAATTGTATTTATTGTTGATGGATTTATGATAATTCCGCTTCTCTACAAAATTCTATCGCATTTGTTGCTTATAAAATAATCTAAAAACTTATATTTTCATAAGCAATTAATTTCACTTAAATTACGGAACTTTTTGTTTTCAATTGAACTTTCTGCCACTATTTAATAGCGATGAATAATACTAAATAAAATTAATGGCTAATATTCGTACTATTCGGACGTAGTTGTGTTTTTCCCAACTTCAATTATTTGCGTATGGTGAGATATTATCTGCAATTAAAATTAATATAAAACTTGTAGCTATTAAAATGCATACTCGTGATATTATAATAATAAGCTGTATATCAATTTTATTTATCTTATGAAAATAAAAGTTTAAAAAATTAAAACACAACATCTAATGTTGCAAGAAAATGTTTAAATAATAATAATAAATATAGGAAATGAGTAGCTATCAACGAGTTTTTATTTTCAAAAAAAAAAAAACGCATTTTTAATTGACTATAAGTAATTAAATTTTAATTAATATGAAAAATTATTTAAATAATCTTTTCTGTTGAATGCCTCTTCAATTTAAATTTTATTCGTATTTACTATAGAAAAATACGGAATAGTAAGCATTTAGCATTAAACAGAATGATGCATTTTAAACTGAATTCATTTAAAACGTGAGTAATCCGAAGCGTTACCGCTTCGGTAATTACAGTGTCTTTAATTATTGTCAGCATAGCCTTTTATTTATTTATATTAACTTAATTAAATATGATGAAAATTAATGAATGAAATAAAATTAAACACTTGAGGGGTTTTTCAATTGTTTTCTAATTTTATTATAGGAACATTTGTTGTGTTATATTTCGTCAACTTCAAACATTTGTTTTATTTTATTTCATATGGGTTTAAACATATATATCAAGAAATTTATAATATAAAATAATTTTTTTATATAAACTACAGTTTTTTTGCACGAATAGTAAAAATTTATAATCTGTTGAAAAACATGAACGACTATTTCGTTTTTCATATTAGTTTTTTCTGATAATATGTATTTAATACTTTTTTATCCTCCATTAAAAGAAATTAAAAACATTATAATATTTAGTATAAAGCTAATATTATAAGTTATATGATAGTTTATGTCTACTACGTTATGGTAGGTGTTACAAAAAGAAAAATAAAAGAGATAATTTTTTGTAATTTGCCTTGCGGTTCGCCAAGGCTTGTACACTTTATTAAAAAACACGCTACTACAAAACTAGAAAAAACCACGCTAAAAATTCCGCCAATAATCCCCACGAACGTTTGACATTAGCTGTCACATAAGTTTTTGGGTGACCAGATGGATTTATAATTTACAGGTGACCAGTGGTACTTTTCGGTTTAACATCCCGGCCCCATTGAATCATCTGAATTCAATATTGGTAATAACGCCAGCTTCGCAATGGGTCGAGTGAGTGTGGTTTCAGGCGTCTTAACTTCTGCCACTCTGACCTTGCCATCTGCTCCTGTTACCGTGCGAATGATGCGACCAAGAAGCCATTTCATAGGTGGCAGGTTATCGTCATGAATAATTACTAAGTCACCGACCCTTAAATTGCGAGTTGAATGTTGCCAACGATTTCGTGATTGTAACGTGCATAAATATTCATGTTGCCAGCGACGCCAAAATTGAGATTTTACTGCAGTAATTCGTTTCCATCGAGCAAGCAACGAAATTTCCTGTGACGTAATCACTGGTTCCGGTATGTGCTTTAGTTTTTTGCCGATTAGCAATTCGCCTGGTGTTAATACTGACAAGTCATTAGGATCTGTGGATATACTTGTAAGTGGACGGGAATTCATCACAGCTTCGATCTCGACGAGAGCCGTAGCCAGTTCTTCGAATGTAAGTCGAGCATTTGATAGGGTTTTGTACAAGTGTGATTTTGCAATTTTTACCGCAGCTTCCCAGAGACCTCCGAAGTGAGGTGCCCTTGGCGGTATAAAGGAAAAGTCAATACGTAAATTTGCGCAATGTGACGTGATGGTATTAATTGTACATTGTTTATTAAAGAAATTGCGGAACTCTCTGAGCTTGTTGTCTGCACCAACGAAATTTGTTGCGTTGTCGCAAAATATCTTCATAGGCACACCTCGACGACCAACGAATCGTTTTAACGCTGATATGAATGCGTCTGCAGATAATTCTGTTACAGCCTCCAAATGCACAGCTTTACTTGCAAAGCATACAAACACAGCAATATAAGATTTATATGGTCGCTTGCCTCTTATCTTTAAATATGTGGGTATTGGTCCGGCAAAATCGACTCCAGTAACATTAAACGGCAAGCATTCTGTGACTCGTTCTTTAGAAAGATTACCCATTACTTGCTCTAACAATTTCGGTTTATATTTGATGCAGTGAATACAGTTACGAACTACCTGAGTTGCTAAAGACTTGCAATTTATGACCCAAAATTCTTGTTGAATGAGTGTTGTTAAGGCTCGCGGTCCGGCATGAAAATTCGAGCGGTGTATGTGTGTCGCTAATGAGACTACGAATGTGTCCGCCTTTGGCAATAATAGAGGATGCTTCACTTCAAAAGATACATCTGCATTCATCAGACGGCCACCAACGCGTAATAACAACAAGTTCCCAAACTGTTCGAGAAACGGACATAAGTTTGCTAGTTGACCCTTAATTGGCTTTTTTTGTTTTCAGCAATGTAATTTCTCTAGCAAAATGGTGCTGTTGAATAGCCCAAACAATATGATATAGAGCATTTTTTAATTCGCTAGCCTTGAGTACATCAGTATTTCTTGATCGTGGTTGAATGACACGTAACACGTAGGCAAATGTACGCACACATTTAAGATAATTACCATAATAATAAATTTGTTCGATAATATATGATGGTTTCCTTTGTTTAATAATCAGACACGTTTTCTTGCGTTCCAAATTAAGATGTGTGGTCTGTAATTCCACTGATGAGTGCAGAGGCCATTCATTAATGTCGTTTTGGAGAAATGTTGGCCCGTGAAACCATATGGATGACTGCAATGTGTGCACCGAACACCCTCGCGAAATGACGTCTGCCGGATTATTTGCTGAATCAACATGATGCCATGTAGTATTTGTTGACAAATTTTGGATGTCGGCAACTCGATTGCCAACGAAAACGGATAATGTTGATGATTCAGAGCGAATCCAATGAAGTGTGATTTGTGAATCGGACCAGAAATGGACTTCTGATATTTCAAACGATAAATGCGGTTGTACCTTTGCCCATAATTTCGTTAATAATTGAGCTGAACAGAGTTCTAGTCGTGGCAACGAACATGTTTTCGTAGGAGCCAATCTTGATTTTGAAGTAAGTAAGTTTACGCATATGGTTCCCAACGAATCCTTACATCTCAAGTATAGGCAGCAACCGTACGCCTTTTCAGATGCATCACAGAAGCCGTGAACTTGTACTTCAATTGTGTTAGACATTCGTACAAAACGAGGAATATGTAGCAGTGGTAAATGTTGCAAGTCATCAATGAAATCCTTAAATTTACTTGCTAAAATCTCTGGAATGCCTTCATCCCAAGAAATATTTTGTACCCACAGCTGTTGTAATATGATTCTTGGTACTGCAATGATTGGATTGATTAGGCCCAACGGATCGAAAAATGAAGCTGTAAATGATAGAATCGATCTTTTAGTAGTAACGCTTACCAATTTTTTAGGTTTAAACGAAAACAGAAATACATCTGTATCTGGTCTCCATTTTACTCCGAGAGCACTGGTTGTGTCTTCATTCAGCTGAAGGTCGCGTTCTAAAGTTGCATTTAAGTTACAATGACTACAATGCCACTTACACAATTCCATCCCAAAGTGATTTAATATTTCAGAAACTTCTTCTTTTATTTGCACCAATGTTGCCAAATCGTCCGCTCCGGTGACCATATCGTCGACGTAAAAATCGTTTAGAATAACGGCCTTTCCTAGTTCATGCGCCTGATGATAATTTTCAGCAGCATACTGGAGACTTCGTATTGCAAGGTGTGGAGCCGCTGATGTGCCGTATGTGACGGTGTTAAGCATATACGTTGAGATTGGTTTGTGTTCATTTTCTCGCCATAGTATTAGTTGGAACCGCCTATCATCTGGATGAAGCAACACTTGACGGTACATTTTGTTTATGTCTGCCATTAACCCATACTGATGGTTCCGAAAACGAATTAGTGTAACAAATAAATCATTTTGTATTGTTGGTCCGACCATCAGTAAGTCATTTAGTGATACTTGTGATGCTGAGCGACATGACGCGTCAAATACTACTCTCAATTTCGTGGTCTCACT